GTAACGGGTGTGATATGATGAAAGTCTGTGAGTGAACAGACCATAATACACATTTAAAGGTACAGTACACTGAAGAGGAGGAGTCAGGTGCTGCTAATTGATAAATCATTGATTGATTAATAAGCCTTCTCTCTCCCTCCTCAGACCGGGAGTGTAACCCCAACCTCCTGAGTATCTTCCAGCAAATAGCGGCCCCCACCCCGCCCCCCCTGGAGATCGAGAACCAGACCTCGGTGCTGATTATCGGCACAGAGGAACCCGTCCTGAGCGCCCCCTACCTGCAGTGGTGGGATGCGCAGAGCATCGTGGGACTGGCTATCTTTGTGCTCTGTATCATCTACTCCAGGTACGCAGATGGATCCTCTAAACCAATCACAGGGCAGCAGGGAGTACACGCAGTTTACATACTCAGACCCTTAACAAATAACAAATTAACCCTCAGGCATCAGTTTAATTTACTACACTCTTAACTATTATTATTATTATTATTATTATTATTATTATTATGTCATTAAGGACAAAACTGTCCACTTCCAAAAAACTGCTATAAAAATAGAACAGATTGATATTTTTTTCTACTTTTTTCTGCATACATCTCTTAAACAACTTCAGCTCTGCTCAAAAATATCAAATATTGAATAGTTATCAGGAATTTAACCCTTTAAATGCCAGTTTGATTACATGATTCTGGCTTTGAAAGCTTTAAATTCCTAAAAATTATTGAATTTTATTGATTATTGAACAATTCAATCTGTTCTATTTTTATAGCAGTTTTTTGGAAGTGGACATTTTTGTCCTTAGTGACTTAAGAGGGTAGTGAAAATGTTTCCCAGTGTTCTACTGATCTATTAAAAAAAATAAAAAGTGCATTCCTAAATGTGTCAGGAGAGAGACTTTCTTGAAAAAATGGTGTCATATGCACAAACACAGACAAAATGATGGCCAGATGAAGAGGAAACTTTTGCCCAAATGGACAAAAATGTCCATAATGATGCATGAGGGTTAAAAAACGGTGAACACTCTAGGAAACTGTGAAAGTATTTGTAAACCGGGGGCACAGATTAGCAAACAGATTTTGTTTTTTGAGCCTTCAGGGACTCCGTACTTCTGTGTAGATTCTTTTTGTCCAATCAGAAGTCGTTCTGAGTCCCCCCATAGACAGTTGATTGAACACAGTATAAATCCAGACTCCATGTGTTTGACTTCTGCAGCATCCGCTCGTCCAGCACCAGCCAGGTGAACAAGCTGACCATGGCGTCCAAAGACTCGAGCATGTTGGCGGAGGGCGGCAGCAGCACGGAGCTGTTGGAGGACGTGGCGGGGCCGCGGCGTGCAGAGGACAACGAGCAGGACATGGTGCAGTACTCGTACTCCTTCTTCCACTTCATGCTGTTCCTCGCCTCGCTCTACATCATGATGACGCTCACCAACTGGTACAGGTGAGACCCGTTCAGCTGTCAATCACATGCCATCGCTTTCATCTCACACGTTCACACTTCAGTTTGTTGTCGTGGAAACAAACCGTAGACGAGATGATCTTTGTTCTTGCTGCTTTGTCACCACATTTATGTAGATTTTAAAATCCTGCTGCTGGTTTATAAAGCGCTGAATGGTTTAGTGACCTGCTGATTAATTACGAACCATCCAGACCGCTCTGGTCGTCTGGGACAAGTCTGCTCTCTGTCCCCAGAGTCAGAACCAAACACGGAAAAGCAGCGTTCAGTTTCTATGCTCCTTATATCTGGAACAAACTCCCAGAAAACTGCAGGTCTGCTGAAACTCTCAGCACTTTTAAATCGAGGTTGAAGACAATCCTGTTTACAGCTGCCTTTCATTAAACAGCTTTAATAAGATTTTAAACTTTAATTCTGCACTGTAATTATTATTTTTTTAAACTCTTTTAATTGCTCTACTTTAATTTTTAATTTTAATTTTTTAATTTAAATTAATTTCATTTTAATATTTTTTATTTGAACATATTTTCAGATTTAATAATTTCAGTGATTTTTACATTTTCTATTTTAATGTTTCTTTTCTTTCCTTTGTCGTGATGCTTTTGTCTTGTGTGAAGCACTTTGTTGAAATGTGCAATAGAAATGAACTTGCCTTGCCTCTTTACATCAAGACCCCCCCCACCCGCTGTCAGAGGCGTGTGAGAACAATGCGTCTGTTACTTTATACAAAGGAGTATTTGTGTGAACAGCTGGAGTTAGCTTCGGTTTAATGTAAAGAACACAAACTGTTATCTAGACTCTTATCTCAGATCTCATGGATCCCACAGAGAGGATGAGGTCTGTGATGTGGACAATTCTTCAACAATTCACTTAGCAGACGTATTTATCCAAAGCGACGTACATCAGAGAGTAAATACAACACAAACAAGGATCTAGAAAAAAGGGAACAATGTCAGTAAGAGCAAACGATCAGCTTTGAGTCTGATTGGACACACAGGTGCTGACAGGAAGTGACCAGAGGCAAAGCACAACATTGACGCAGTTCTTGAGAGCTCTAATCAGTATAGAAATCATCTTATAAGTTGCGTTATCAAACAAAAACCATCGTCATTCCATCATCATCATCAATAATATGGAGCCCATCATCATTAAGTTAGTAGGTATTCATGAAAGAGCTGGGTCTTCAGCTTTTTCTTAAAAGTGCAAAGGACTGTTTCATCCGTCTCAGAGTCTAAATGTGACCACGGCATGTCAGCAGCTCAGGAGGGGGTGGCGCTTGGCTCTGAGGTTCACTTTGGACTCTACATGGAGTCATGAGGTCTCACATGCTGCAGCGTGTGCCCAGCCTCAGGATCTAAATTACCCGAACCCGAGAGAAGGCTCAAAGATCTGATTCCCCCCCCTATAATGTGAAGGTTATTAATCAAAAAACAAAAGAAGGTGTTTTTTAAAAGTACTGATGGTTAACAAACTGAAGCCCCGCTCTGGTTGGTTCATAAGCAGCCAATAAGCAGCTCATCAGTTCTTCTTCACGTGTCCCCTTCCTGGTGTTTCACCCTGTCAGAGCCTTTTTCAAACCAACCCTACACCCTCCCCCTCCGTGACGGAGTGCACTCTGTTGGAAGTCACACTCGCAGCTGAATGAAGTCTCCTTTATCAAGGTGTAGGGTAGACATACAGCGGCAGGCTTTGGGAAAAACTTCCCTCTCTCAGGTGAAAACAGGAACTGTGTGTTACCATGGTTACTCAGCGGCATCTTGCGGGAACAGCTTTTTTTTTGTAGCTAATGCATTCTGTAAAAATATTTATGTAGCCTAGATTATTCTTCTTCTTTAGTTATATTAGTGTAGACTTATAACAGAACTATTAGATTGAGCCTACATTGTTTATTGTAATTTATAATTTCAGTTAATTTATTGTAAATTTTAGATCAGGGTGTCCTAAATGAATGCAAAGACAAGGAGACTATTGTTGAACATCAGAGCAGCAAAAAGTGTATTTTTTGTTGTTGAATTGAGATTTCACAAAGACATGAAAAGTAGAAAAATAAGAAATAAATATTAACAGCAACATGATTTAATATTCTTTTGTTTTTGCAACAGTCCCTGTAAATATAAAACACTTTAAATAAACATATATTTGATCCTCAATACACATTTGAAGTAGTTAACGTCTGTATGACGATATTAAATGTCTATCTTAGTTGGAGCAGTGTTTGAACTCACAGGTTGCTGTCTCCATGACGACCGGACACAATAGGCGTTGCACGTGATCCGAAAGTCGGCATCGGTGCAGACTCGCTGGTGGAGGGTTTTATAACCCACTACCACTCCCCGCTATTTGGTTTGGGACAGACTTAATATGGCGGGCCCTCCACGAGGACGTGCAAACGGAGGGGTAGTGGGTAGGGAGAGGGTGTAGTGGCTGGTTTGAAAAAGGGCCTGAGTCATCCCGACTTCATCGTGAAGTTGACTGAAAGTTAGAGTGAGACCGCATGGAGGCCGCCATCGATGGGACTCCAGCGCCCCCTTCAGGAACAGATGGGGGGACATCACTCAGGCTTTAGTAATATTTACAGTCTGTGGTTGTTCAGAGCAGCTGTAAATCAAACATACTCTTCCCTCTGGCTCTAACCCGTCTCCTGGTTCTGGTTCCTCTCAGCCCCGACGCAGACTACACCATCAGCAGTAAGTGGTCGGCCGTGTGGGTGAAGCTCTCCTCCAGCTGGGTGTGTCTGGCTCTCTACATCTGGACCCTGCTGGCCCCGCTGATCCTCACCAACAGAGACTTCAGCTGATCCTCCTCCTCCTCCTCTTCCAGCATCGACCAGGAGGAGGTGTTGGTAAACTTCTCATCATCAATGTGGGGAGGTTCTCAGGGGTCTGCTGAACCCCCTTTAGACCACCATGAAGAGGAGGAGGAGGAGGGAGGGGGAAGGAGCGGGTTAGGTCTGAAGAGGGGGAGTGGTCCTGATCAGTGCAGCCATGATGCCTTCATGTCGTTCCGACCTGTGTGATATTTTAACCTGCAGCTCAAACGAGGCCCAATGAGATTAAGACCCTTTTTTATACGAGCGTGGTCGAGTCCCGGAGACCCGTGGTCGAGTCCCTGAGACCCGTGGTCGAGACCCCGAGACCCGTTTGAGACCCGTGGTCGAGACCCCGAGGTCACATCATTCAGTTCATCATAAAAACATTTCTTTATGAGTCTAAAGTGGTCGATGTCTTTATTGTTTACGCTTCTCTGGATGTTGATCAATAATAATCATGATGTTTGTAAAGTTTTTGGCCTTTGATCCTCTTAAACACGTCCAGAGTTTAAAGGTCGTTATCTTCAGCTGTGAATCTGATCGACCTCAAACTGAAGGAGCGTCCATGTTGACCACACGATAATATTTATGTTTATATCAAAGTTGAAAATGATTTTATTTCTGTGATTAATTCAGGATGTTTCTGCTCGCTTCTGTAACAACGCTGTCACTAAGCTCTGCCCTCATCAGGTCACTTTTGAATAAAAGAGTCTGAAAAGACTTCCTGTTTGTGTTTTGGACTTCCTGACAGGACTCGCTTCATGTTCTTCTTGTTTCTGTCACGTTTCTAAAAATGGATTTAATTTTCAAGTTTCTGATTGTTTACAACTAAAAACATTCTTAAAGCTCGACCTGAAGATAAACATTTGTTTGTTTGTTTGGAGCCCACTTTTTAATGAGGTTAATAAAGTATTTCCTTCTTCATGTATACTGTTGAATGCTTTGACTTTTAAAGACCCCCGGAGGCTGACCCCTCTGTGCAGCATGTTGGTGTTATAGTCGTCCACCAGGTGGCGACAGCGAGTCATGAGCAGAGCTACAGCACACATTAGAGCTGCACTCCGGATAATATCTAACAATATTTCCTGAGGTACGACGTGACGTATATAAACAACGCTGAAGTAGCGGCCGTAGTAACAGAGTCGCCTACACGATGTTATAATGACAATATTCTCCTTTATAGCAATGCGAGTGCATCCACAAAAGAGTGGAGAACAACATACTGGAGAACAGGAAACATAATGCAGCAGGTTGATGGTACGGAGATCGTAAAGGTCTCGTGCAGACACTTTAGGCAGTCATTGTTTATAAACGTCATTCTCTTCCTATTGGCTCGAGGTGAATCCTCCGGAGTATATGCTGCTGCGTTCAGACATCAGCTCACTGGGACTTTCTGCAGATAAAATACTCTGGGTCTGGAGGAGAAACTCAAGGTAGACTAATCTCTACCTCTAAAGTCTTTCAGGAGATTTCCATATGTATGAACAGAAATCAAAGAGGTGAAGAGAAATCATCGACTGAGATCCTCCGCTGACGTTTACTGAAAAGAGAGAAACACTCAACCTCCTCAAATCAGTTCCAAACAATAACTGATCTGATCCTGATCCTGATCCTCATCCTGATCTGATCCTCATCCTGATTTGATCCTCATCCTGATCTGATCCTGATGTGGACTTTACAGACCCCTTTAACATCCTTACATTTTGCAGCATCATCTCCTTCATCTGGTTATGTCAGCTCGTTCATCCTGCCTGATAACCATTTCCTTTCTCACGATGTCTGAGCTAAACTCGTTCTCACAACATTTGTGTTGTTTGAGTTGAGGCGGTGAGGGGAACTTTTTCTCACACCCGGAGCAGTCAAACGGTGTCTCTCTGGAGTGTCCGACAGGCATCGCTTCATCTCTGCACTTCTTGTTGCGCATCCGTATGGTTTCTCTCCAGTGAAGGGAGAGTGCAGCCTCCCACTGCTGCTGAAGGTTTTCCCGCACACGGAGCAGCTGAACGGTTTCTTTCTGGTGTGCACCCTCTTGTGTTTTTGCAGATTTTCCTTCAGTCTGAACGTCTTGGTGCACTTGGAGCAGCTGAACGGTTTCTCTGCCGTGTGACAGGAGGCATCTCTGCAGGTTTTTCCTCCTCTTGAATATTTTTCTGCACGTTGGACATTTAAACTTTTTGTTCTCAGACGCAACGTCACCGTCTCTCACAGACTCTAAACACGAGTCTGTCGTCTGCTGCCTGACTTCAGGTCCAGGTCTTCATCTGGTCCTCCACAGTCCTCTGGAGCGGAGGTTTTGACTCGTCCTCTTCGTTCTTCACAGGCTCAGCAGGAGATTGCAGCTCAGGAACATCAGCTCCTCCATGTCTTCATCTGGTCCTCTTCTGGCTCCTCTTTGATGTTTGGGCCCTGCAGGAGCAGACGGGGGCCCTGGTCCTCCTCTGGCTCCTCTTTGATTTTTGGGCCCTGCAGGAGCAGACGGGGGCCCTGCACCTGCAGGTCACAGCGGATCTTTGTGTTCACAGTCTGAGTGTGGATGTCCTGAGAGACACCCGGGACACAGAGACAGGACGGCAGAGGTTTACTGACTGGTGGACGAATGTCACGCTGACACTTCAGTGACTGTGAGGTTAACTCAGACATCAGGTCGCTGAAGGTGATGAAACATTGATGCTTCATATAGCAGGTATTATCTTAGCTTCACACTGTAATGACACTCGCCTCACTGAGAGCAGAAACTCACATAGAACGAGCAGAAGAACTACCTGCAGCTTCACACCTGAGACCTCTAACTGCAGCTTCACACCTGAGACCTCTAACTGCAGCTTCACACCTGAGGCCTCTACCTGCAGCTTCACACCTGAGGCCTCTACCTGCAGCTTCAAACCTGAGACCTCTACCTGCAGCTTCAAACCTGAGACCTCTAACTGCAGCTTCAAACCTGAGACCTCTACCTGCAGCTTCAAACCTGAGACCTCTACCTGCAGCTTCAGACTCTGACACAGACTAAACACTCTTGGTAGTGTCAGCAGACTGACTGAATGAAGCTCATCTGTTCTAAGTCACATGTTTCGTTGTGAAGCTCACCTGTGCGACTCTCCGACCTCAGGTTGACCTCGTGCAGGTTATAAGCTTCCAGCATGCTCCGCCTACAAGCAGCTCGTGCTCGTAGTCCGCCACGGTCCGTTCAAATATGTCGATGATTTCCTCCACCGCCGCAGACAGACGTTCAGTGACGCGACATGATGCGTCACAGAACAGCGAGGGAGAGGAGAGAGAAAACACCGTGTGGGAGGAGCTACCGGTTTGTTCTTTCTTCTTCTTCTACTTTTTCATTTATTCCACTACTTCTTTAAAAAGGCTGTTAAACAGTTAATGTTGTTTTACTGCCACCTGCTGGTCCAGATTATCAGTGCATCCACAACATGTTAGCATGGACATGAAAAGAAGCTACATGCTGACACCTACAGACTGAGGAAAGTTTCTGCTGCTCTGTCAGCCTGCAGACTAAACCTGTGTGTGTGTGTGTGTGTGTGTGTGTGTGTGTGTGTGTGTGTGTGTGTGTGTGTGTGTGTGGAGGGGGGGGGAGGGTACACCTGGATCAATCTGCAGGTAATAATAATTATAATGATTATATTATATGAATAAGAATAAGCTCATCACCAAAGTCAGTAAACTATCTGGTCATATTCTGAGCTCACACAGGTGCTGCCCTCTAGTGCCTGACTGCTGCACACACACACACACACACACACACACACACACACACACACACACACACACACACACACACACACACACACACACACACACACACACAAACATACACAAACACACTTGGGTGTGTGTGAGGTGCAGCCAGATTAAATTCTATCAATCTAAATGTCTGCTTCTTTTTAAGGGCTAAAACATGTAAATATGATCCAGTATCTTCTTCCTCGTCATCATAATGTTCTCACTATGTGTCTGTCTTTCATCGCAGGTGTGTGTGTGTGTGTGTGTGTGTGTGTGTGTGTGTGTGTGTGTGTGTGTGTGTGTGTGCGTGCGTGCGTGCGTGTGTGTGTGTGTGTGTGTGCGTGCGTGTGTGTGTGTGTGTGTGTATTACAGCAGGTGTGTTCCTTGCTCTCTCTCTTTGTCTCCACCAGTGTGTGTTTCTGCTCAGGGAGGGGTTCAGAGCTCTCACCTGATTGGTTCTTCCTCCTCTGTGTGTCTCTGTAATGAAGGAGGGAGGAGGAAGGAAGACGCCTTCTCTCCCTCTCTCTCCTCTCTCTTACCCCCCTCCTCTCCCTCACTCCTCTCGCTCTTCCTTTTTCTTGTCCCTCTCTCTCTCTCCCTCTCTCTCTTGTCTCTCTCCCTCTCTCTTGTCTCTCTCCTCTCTCTCTCTCTCTCCCTCACTCTGTGACTGGTCGGGTCATGTGATGCAGTAATTCCCTGGGATTTGACTCTCAGGCATGCTCTGTCTGCTCCTACATCCTCTGTGAGAGCTGTGTGTTTGATTGCCCTGCATCCAGGCGACTCGCTCATTTTCCTCAGGATCTATTGTTAGCTGACTGACACGCGCACACACACACACACACACACACACACACACACACACACACACACACACACACACACACACACACACACATACACATGCAGATAAACACACTGTGGAGTACTGTAGCAGCAGCAGGGACGTGGCAGTGATGGTAAGTGACCTGTGTGTGTGTGTGTGTGTGTGTGTGTGTGTGTGTGTGTGTGTGTGTGTGAGCTTATGTTCTTTAGCAGGGATCAATCTGTCTTCACTGTCGGCTCTGAAGGTTTCTGTTGTGTTTCTGATCCATCAGTCCATTGATAACTTAACGACCTGTTCCTAACAGAGAGCGAGTGTGCGTGTGTGTGCATGCATGTGCATGTGTGTGTTGATTTATGATGACTGGGTTTGTGTTCAAGCCTACGTGTTGATAGTCAATGTAATGTTGCAGATGTGTTACTGTGTGTGTGTGTGTGTGTGTGTGCATGTGCCTGTGTGTAGTGATTTATGATGACTGGGTTTGTGTTCAAGCCTACGTGTTGATAGTCAATGTAATGTTGCAGATGTGTTACTGTGTGTGTGTGTGTGTGCATGTGCATGTGTGTAGTGATTTATGATGACTGGGTTTGTGTTCAAGCCTACGTGTTGATAGTCAATGTAATGTTGCAGATGTGTTACTGTGTGTGTGTGTGTGTGTGTGTGTGTGTGTGTGTGTGTGTGTGTAGTTGCAGCTGCAGCCACATCATCCCGTTGCTCAGTGTCACCATGGTAACCCTGCTCTGGTCCAGAGTTATGACATGTCAGTGTGTTCTGCTGTAAACATTCACACTGTCACAGCTTCATAGAAACATCTTTAAACTGTTAATCTGACAGACAGCTGATAAGGTGGTGAGGATGGATGATGGATGGATAATGGATCATGGATCATGGATGGATGGATGATGGATGGATGGATCATTGATCATGGATCATGGATCATGGATCATGGATCATGGATGGATGGATGGATGGATGGATGATGGATGGATGGATGGATGATGATGGATGGATCATGGATCATGGATCATGGATCATGGATCATGGATCATGGATCATGAATGGATGGATGGATGGATGGATGATGGATGGATGGATGGATGATGGATGGATAATGGATCATGGATCATGGATGGATGGATGGATGGAGGGATGATGGATGGATGGATGGATAATGGATCATGGATC